CAAAAGACCTCTCCGCACTTAGCGTTTTGCTATGTCGCTTGTTTTATCTAGGGGTCTACATTGAAAAAAAGCAAAAGCCTCACTGCTTAGAGCGATAGCTCCATATCAAAGTTCCCAGCCCTTAAAATGTCACCAAATGGTTCAAAAGAACAATTTTAAAGCATAACCGTTCACCAGAACCCAGATAATTTTGTTCCCATTGAGATATTTTTGGTACAAAACAATCTAAATAGGTTTGGAGAACCTGACGAGAATTGAGCATTCTTAGGAGTTTGTATTAGCAGGGGATTGGCAGCACAGAGCCTCGGTTACACCAACCTCCTCTAGAAAGAGGAGAGTACTAACTTCACCACGTTCCTCCTGTTACGCCAAGCAGAATTAGAATTAGCAAATTACAAGTGAAAAGCTCTGTAAAATAAACAATCTAATGGGACCACAAAATTTGCTATGATACTGCCATTTTAGTGAATGTTAATTAAATCGAATGTGTACATGAAGTCTGCAGCCCTAAAACCCATTATGTTGTCCAGGTAGAGAATCCCTTTTGCTTAAGCACAAGTGTTAATAATTAATTTTTAATTAAATAAATTCTGATATCATCGTTTTCCTGATGTTCACGTCACTTTAAGTATTCCACAGAGAAGTGTTTTCAGTTCCATCAGAAAGGTTTTCTGTGAGATGTCATGCACTCTGGGAAAGCACAGGCAGTGCCGGCATTAAGAAAGGCCCAACCCTTGAAGACACTAATCTGGGGTGGTGTAGCCTTAGCAAAGTGTAACACCTCGGAAATACTCACTGCCACGAGTCACAACTGCAGCAGGCATTACCAACTGTTTGGTCTCATCTCTTAGTAAGTTATTCATGGTAATCATTCCTGCGGAGCATGTGCCAAGACTCTTACAGGGTTTTCTGAGTACACGCTCATTTTCAGGAAGTTACACACACCTACAAAATTCACAATCAACTCATCACTCAGTTTGAGAGCAATTACCCCAGCATTTGAATAGAATCATAGAATCATAGAATCACTGGGTTAGAAAAGACCTTAGAGATCATCCAGTCCAACCGTATCTGTCCACCACTAAACCATATCTCTCAGCAAAATAACCAGGATATCAGCTGGGAATCGGATGGGAAAAAGCAGGTGCCTAGAGCACTCCCAGGACTGCAATCCTCACCCACATTGTACAAACAGCTCAGCTGAAGTTTCACTGCAAAGTCTAGAAACTCCATGTAGTGCCAGAAATGCCTCCGTCAAAATTCCTTTAGGGTGTTACTAGAGTGAACCAGGGAAAGACAAACAGTATGTTCATAATGCATTAGCACTCGGTGCTGCAGATCAACAGCAATACCAGGTTCAACTCCTGTTGTGCAAAGAACCATGCAGATAAAGCACATTGCGGCCCCTTGATGCCGCAGAGTCCAAAAACGAGGCAGAAGAGATGCCGGCCATACAGGAGATGTTAACGGTGTAACGAAACAGCCCACGAAAGCCAGTGTTCTAGCTCTTTGTCAACTTCATTATTACATTAACTGCGAGGAAGCATGGACGAAGGTTAAATGGGATAAAGACTAGATGGTGACGTACTGAATTATCTTCCTGTCAGCATGGAGCCCACAATCACACACCAAAAGGTGCTGGCTTATGCTCTGCTGTTGCACTTGAGGCAAAGCCATGCTGCGCCTGGGCACTCGCTGCACATTAAGGGTGTCCTAAGTCAATTTACAGCAAGCTGGCCAGGGAGCACTTGCTGGAATGGATCTCGCATTAATTTCCCCTGACAGACAACTAATGGTTCAAACTATTCCTAGCAGAGTTGAGCTTCATTACAGTGATCCTTGCTGGCAGTTTAACACCAGAGCAAGAACCAGCCCTGCTGTACTCACATTATATGCTGCTATTCATCAGAGTACCTTTCCTCCTACTGGGGGCAGGGGTGATGGAAAACGAGGTGTCAGCATTCCCATTCCCAGCAAGAGAAAGTAAACTACTGATAGTGTTACCAGGTGCTTCTGGTAGAGCTGGAGGGATTTTGCTGGGTAGTTATCACCCCATACTCCTCCTGTCCGTGGATTCTAGACTTGTGTTGTGCTTGAATACGGACAAACCTTACCACTACGACCCTTTCTGTTTGTATTTCCCCCTTCTTCACTTTCCCACCCGAAGTGCCTAAGGGCTGCTCACACAATACAACAGAAAATTCTAACCAATTTCTTTTTCTTTCTCTCTCAAATTTGCTTTTTCAGAAGGAACAAGGAAATTGTGTCTATACACAAATGACATTACAATAAAGTGTCTTCAGAGTCCTTAAAGATAAGGTTTATTCCACCCAACGTATCCCCAGCTTGCCACTCAGCTCACTTCAGGAAACAAAAGCCCCACATTTGCCATTTGTGCTGGTTTTAGCTGGGATACAGTCAATTTTCCTCACAGTAGCTAGTATGAGACTGTGTTTCGGATCTGTGCTGAGAAGAATGTCCATATTGGTTTCAGCTGTTGCCAAGCAATGTTTACACTGAGCCAAGGACCTTTACAGTTGATACTGCCCCCATGTTCCCAGCTGCTTCTCGGCAAGAGGCTGAGAAGGGACACAGCCCGGACAGCTGACCCAACTGACCAAAGGGACATCTCATGCAATCAAACGTCATGCTCAGTGTGTAAGCTGGGGCAGTTGGCCAGGAGAGGAATCACTGCTTGGGGACTGGCTGAGCATCAGTCAGTCAATGATGAGCAGTTGTATCATTTTGTTTTCCTTCCCTTTTCCCTTTTTTTTTAAATTACATATTATTACACTTAGTAGTAGTATTTTCATTACATTTTAGTATTACTAGTAGTATTTATATTATTAGTATCATTATTGTATTTAATTTACTTTCAATTATTAAACTGTTCTTATCTCAACCCACAAGTTCTCTTCTCTTTTTCCCCTGATTCTCTCCCCCACCCCGCTGAGGGAGATGATTGAGCGGCTGTGTGGTGCTTGGTTGCTGACTGCGGTTAAATCACAACACCATTTCACCCTTGCCCTATTTCTTTGTCAGATGAAACGTAAGTATTAACACAATAATGTTTCTCAGCTTCAAGATCAAATTAGCAACATAATCCCTCTCAAAAGACGAAGGCAACCAAACCACAGGAATCAACAGGCAATCTCACATCACACTGTGATGGGGCAATTAGCAAAGAGAAACAAGAATGAAGGTGACCATACTTTCACTAGGTAAACAAAGTTTATCTGTAAAATAGATTCATTGCTAAATGTAGTCCGACATATCAATAGAAATTGTGCATGCCATTTGGTCTTTCATTCATTAAGCACATTGATCTTTGAAAACACGATTCTTGACTAATGAGCTGTGTTAAGTGGCTCTTGGGCTCTTACTTTGTTGCTATTGTAGTGAAAGACCTGGACTCCCAGACCCTGATGAAAGAAAGAAAAGCTTCAGTGCTTCTGCACTCCCATAGCAGCTTCTCAACCTAATCTCTAGGACAATTGTCTATTTATTTATTTACTTAAAGATTACAAGCATCACCAAATCCTGTTTAAGAGCTTGCCTGAAGTAGGTTTTTTCATCACAAATGGAAGAAGGATCCAGGATGCAGAGTTCCAAGTTAGGGAACTTCATTATATATATACCAATAAAAAATGCTGCACCACTTCCAACCACTCAAGTATTTAATTCCAATAATGCACCCTTTACTTGTTCTAAGAAAGCAGACAACGTCAAAAGATGCAGAAACAATGGCTTCATTTTTTCTTGGAACTTTCACTGAAAATATTTGTGGGTGAGTTTTACCAATTTAACTGAGTCCATCCAGGTACTGAAAAAATAAGTAAAATTAAGGTATCTAATTATTCTTTCAAAATAGACCACAAAATACAGCTTTCTTCCAAAAACAGGTGCAAAATTGAGTGTCAACAATGGTTCTTATAACAAACTATAATTTGTAGAATTCGGTGTGGAACAAGCACCCTTTCTCCAAAAGGTTTCAAGACACTTGGTTCAATATTTTTATATATATATATATTTGTATATTTGGCTCAATAGAATTTATTTTTTTAAACGGTCTTTTGTTGATAGGCAGAACACAAATCTTTTAAAAATAAGATGAATCCAGCAGACACCCAGCGAAGCAGCTCCATCTCTGCACAAACCACTGTATGTTCTAAGATAAAATCTTCTGGATTCAGAAACTCGTTGAGGACTTTCTGCAGTTTGGTAGCAAACAAACAGCTCTTGTAGGCTAATGAGGCAACTTGGTTAACACAATACTAGTTGGCTTGCCTAAGAGAAAGCCAAGTTACACTTCCTTTCACTTTGAGTTTTCCTTCTTCAACAGCAATAGTTGTAACTTGACTGTGCCTGTGCACCAGAGTTTGTGGAAGAACTATTTAGCTTGTATTTTTGGCAGCACTCCCCTTCAAAAATCACTCAGCGCACATTGATTGTGCCCAATAAAAATCAAGGCAATGCTTTGCTAATCCCTGGAAATGTTTCATTCTGGATTTCTAAAGTCGCTTGCTTTGGGTAGGTTGCACAAATTGTCTTCCAACAGTCTACACTGTATGTATGGTTGGCAGGAAGGATTTTTAATCTTCTCAGTAGAAGATGGTTGTTTCATCATTTTAGCTCCAATAAAAATACAAGAACTGAAATATTACTTGATAGGCAATTTCCAATTCCAAGCCACATCTGTTTAAAATTTCTTTTTACTAATTCATTGAAGCAGAACACTACTAAGAGTGATGGAAACGTCATTCCATGTTTTGCAGAGAACAAAAAACCCAAACCAAACAAAAAACAAGATGAAGGAGAAACTGCTGAATATGAAGAAATAAATACAATTCAACACAAGGTAGGCAATTGAATAGGTAGCCTTGAATACGTAACACCCCACACACACTGATTCCTCGTTAGTTAACAATCAGAAGAAAACTATGCCAGAACAAAGACGTGCCACAATAGTTTTCACTTAGAGGTCAAAAATTAAGTTGTGAGTGATCATGTACTATATTTATTTCTTTCCTTGTTGTTTGCCTTGCAGGGAATGAGTACGCATTAGGTGCGTTTATTTTTTGACCATTTCATAAGCCACAGGTTGAGCATGGTGATGGGAAAGAAGTACTGTCAGCTTTCAGCTGAGTGTCCCTGTTGAGATGAAGCTGTCCAACGACAGCACAGCTCACTTCTCGGCGACTTTGTGAGCATTAATTAGCTTCCGTCGCATCTCCCGGTTCCTGGCCCTTTTTTCTTCATACTGGAAGACAGATAAAGAAATTAATAGATCAGCTGCTGTCGTTAATAAGGTAAGTCAAATTTAAAAGTGTAGAGAGCTTTTATTACTCAAGAACAGAAACAATATCTTTGACGCACTGGAAATGCAGATCTTGTTAATACCTCTATATTAGTTCACTTTTACTTTGAAATTAACATTTATTTGATTAAAATACATGTTTCGAAGGTTGAGGTTATTAAGTTAAAGGGTATGAGAACATTCTAATAAAGAAGATTCAGTTAATCTTATAGAGGAACTTAATTAAACAGCCATCTTAGGTATGACAGCTACACTCCACACACAAACTAGGAAAAGGTTGCATTGGTGCTGTTCTAGAGCACAGGTCAGGCTCTTTTCCCTTCAAAACGTAGAGATAAATGTGACTGCCTTCTGAAACACGAATTTGCCATCACAGATTTGGTCTGTTTTGGATCCTGGACATTAATTATACAAAACGTACAGATAAATGTAAGTGTGACTGCCTTCTGAAACACGAATTTGCCATCACAGATTTGGTCTGTTTTGGATCCTGGACATTAATTATACACACAGACAAAGTAGTGTACAAGATGAAAGGAACAAAGGCAAATTTGGGTTGAATGAGGGCAAGGCATTTGGGGTTTTTTATGGTTTAATAAAGAAACACAACAGGGACAGGACTGCAGTGTAAACTGGAATCAAGAAAGCCTTCACAGTTTAGATACATGCATCAGACCATGCTTTCAAGTATGCCCCTGCACTAGCAGAAGCCTGAAGACTGAAGAGCCTAACTTTCTTTCACTGCAGCCGAAAAGGAAACCTTTTCATGGCTAAAAGCAATGAAAAAATAAAAATCAATGGATGATTTGATATATATTTCAGGAGAAGAAAATTATTCTTGGCCTTAAGTTAGAGCATATATTTGTTCAATTTTTTAATAACTTGGATCAAGAATAAAACCCAAGTAACCCACAAATAGTCAATTCTGTATATAATGTAATAAACTACTAAGGAGATTGATTTTGGAAAGGATTTTCAGTTTTTCACTCATTATACTGATTGGTTTATAACTGAAATAATGGCCTGAAACATTACTTAACATTTACAGAATGTTTAATTTTTTTCCCATGCCAATACTTAATTTTTCCATAACCCATCCATGTTTTTACATAGAAAAAGAACAATGGATCTTTAAAAGCTACATCTGTACCTATTCTATACTTGTGAACAACCTTTCGGGGGCTTCCCAGTAATGGCACAGCTATGTAGCCATATTTTAAGAAGGCAGACAAATATAGCCATCAAGAACTCCTTTTAATGTAAAGGCTTCAATGGAACAAAGGCAATTAAGATCACATGGAAAGAACTTTACTTCATTACAGTAAAACCAGTGCCATGGTTTTTACAGGGGAAAAAAAACCCCACCAAAACTGTATTTGACACAAGCAAATGAAATTAATTTCCATGGACTGGCAGAGGGAAAAGAGGGGGGCTAAACTGTTCTGGCTCTCATGCACTTGAAGTTTCACTTTTTAGGCAGGATCGTGAAATTTATATAAAATTTGTAAGTACAATTTCAAGTTAAAATGTGTGTGAAAAGTTCATTTATGTGTTCTGCCATGTAGGCACAACAACCACAAATCTCTGGACCAGTTGATGCTCTTCTGGAAACGTGCCCATTAGCTAGTTAATCTATTTAAACTCTTAGAGCCTCCATCCCTCTGTATCTGCAGATGCAGTACGGCAGTGGGTAGGTCGTAAGCAGCGTTATTTTCATTTAGGGCTCAACTCAGTGACTCATCAGACAGTTTCAGTCAGTATAACTGATTTCATTAATAAGTGTTACTCATAGAGAAGTGGCCTTTGCTGCTTTACATTCCATTCTGAGCCAATACCACTACTGAAAAAAAATTAAGAAAAAATCAGAAGCATCTGTGAAGTGTCAGTTCCTACTTGCAACATTTGTTTGGTTAATGTGTGTGTTTGCCTATTTCTGTATATCCAGAAATAGACCCTGCCATTTGTTAAAGCCAGATTTTACCTGACAATCTTACAAAAAAGTTTACATTTGGTCTCAAAGCCCACTCCAGAATGTGCTTAAATTTCAAGGACTACTTATTGATTGGTACTACTTTGTAAAAAGCAACTCTATTTCTGTCCCATGGACATTTTTTTTAATTAAGCATTTAACTCACAATATATTTGTTTCTTACCTCTTTCTTTAAGCACTTCCGCATCTCACGGTCAATATCATTGCAATGGCCAAAAAATTTCAAAATGTTGTGCTGATAAGTTAGGGAGAGAAAAAAAAATACAATTCGAAGGTTTCTTCCTCTGAAGCTCTAAATTTCTTAGAAGTCACTTGTACTTTGCAACTTATCCTGGTCTTCTTTTTCTTTTCTCTTTTTGTGAAAAATGATGCTTTGTAACTTTTCTACTGAGTAGCTAGAAGCTAGAGCTGCTCCTGAACCTCATTTGAACCACCCCCGAATGCTTGAAGTTGAAGGTGTTCACCATGTTGTATAACCAGACTAAAATAGGATACCTAAGCTGAAGCTACAAAGTCTAAATGTAGAACATACATTTTACGGATTTAGGAATCAGTCTTACAACTTTCGCTCACACTAGCTTGAATTACGTACAAAACCTAAATATTCTGAACTCCACAGTTTGTGATATAGAAAGGTGTAGAGAGATCTACAGGTATCCTGGAGACAATGTCCTCTGTGCTTTGGTTTTCGTTTCTTCGTGACCTAGAGAGGCAAAGGACTTGATGCTCCATCATCCCAACCACATGACGAACGTGGCGTTGGTCTAGAAGCTGCAGGCGCTAGACTTACATGCCTGAAATGTCAGAACTAGTATAAAAAATGGGGGATTAAGTTTCTCCAGATCCTGAAGTTAGTAAGTGAGAAGCATTTACCATTTTCATGACACAGCTGAACTGCAAGCCTTACGCACACTTAAGCGCTACTTGGTTTCTGAAAACCTGCAGGCATCAGCCTCACAAAGGCATTCCCCAGCTAACCTCATGATATCCTCCATAAAAATCTGCCCCCTTAGCCAGGATTTCCTGAAGCGATTTCATATTATCAGCCATCAAACCACTCTCAGAATGCATTCTTCTGAAAGGACTGCTTTGTCAGCGATGCTTACTGGCACGCCACAGAATCTCGCAGCAGAACCTGGGAGCAGAGCACCCGAGCAATTCAGAAGACCTGAAGGAGTGGCGGTTTCAGTAGCTCTTCCCAGCTATACAATCAGTACAGACAATTCGAGCAACCTTTTAGAGAATCAGGGAATTTTTTTAAAAGAGCATGCAGAACAAAACAGACGAGGAAGAAGTCACATCCGTATTTCAAAGGGAAACCCGTGCGCACTGCTGATGCTGAGGAGCAGCTGGATGGAGTTATAGGAGCAATGCAGGAGCACTATTAAGAACACAGAGGACGAGATTTCAGCCGATACAACATGACGGAAAGTAGGAGTGGGTTAATAACGATTATGACAAACACATAACCATAGCAGTGCTATAATTAGCTTGTTTATACCTCTCTGCTTTACAAATGGCATCAGATGGCACTCTGGAGCAGTTGCATGTGATAAATGGTCACTTTACTACAGGCTGATCTTGCTTTTACAACATTTTCATTTTAGTTAATATTGATTTAATTGTGTATTCTATTCCCATACCTGCATGTTAAATTTCAAGGTGAATGCTCACATTTCAAGCTATCTCCACTCTTTATTAGTGCATACAGTGAGTTGAATCTATGTTTATTCAGCCAGATTCCTAAGCTGTCAACTTTTTGGCTCAGATTATGAGGAAAACCAAATTAGTTTCTCAAAACCAGTTATTACGCCTATTGCAGTGATATTACTGCAAAATAGTATGCATTTCTTTCAGCTGCCACCTATAAAAATAAGTCTTTTTAAAGCACGGACTTGGCACCAGAGTGGAGTTGTTAAGAAAAACAAAGCGAAACAAAAACCCCCCAACAAAGTGATGACCTGAAACAGGAATGCAATTAACAAATTAGATGCAAAACTTGAAATAATGGGCAGGTTCTAGATTAGGTATAAAGTAAATCAAACTGCCTTTTGTGAAAATGCACACATGGGAAAGTCAATTAAAAAATAAAGCTTTTCATCCCTCAGGAATATTAATTTAAATTGTAGGTGAAAATTCTTAGGATATTTTAGCATTACAACAAACCAGCAGGTAGTCACTGATAACTGATTAATATCACTGACTTTTCAAATTTCAGTGACTTCAATTTTAAGAGTATTTCAGTACATTCCCCTTGAATTTTACATGAAAATGTACTGCTCCTTTCAACTGTGAAAGAAGCCATCTTCACCCTTTCTGTTCTGAGACTGCTAGCACAAATACCCTCTCATAGCTGAGCACAAAGACTGACAAAAGTAATTCCTTTTCATGTAAATATCAACTTCAAACAAAGCCAAGAGAATATAATCCTGTGCCTGACTGTATTACTGTGGCTCCCAGTCCCTTTGTAAGTCCAATTGCCAATAGATTCCCTTGAACCACTTGCTGCCAAGGAATTCAAGTACACCTTTTAGTTCCATCCAGTCCCCTCTAAAACTCTAGGCAGTCTAATAAGCTACATATGATTATATATGTGTATACATTTTCTATACATATTATACAAATGCCTATGATACTTGTACATTAACATTCATTTTCGTAGAAAACAGTCAACCATTACTTTAAAGTAGTAAACAAATATTTCTGGATTCTCTAGTCAAAGCATAGAAAGCCCAACCTTGTATGTACCAAAAAGCAGGGCAAATTTGAATGTATTTTCTTTCAAGATTAGATTTGTTTGAGCAAAGTTTTGGGCCCCTCCCTTCAAGATAGACCTTGTGGTGCTGGAGCGTGTCTAGAGAAGGGAATGGAGCTGGGGTCTGGAGCACAATTCCTGTGAGGGAGCTGGAGGGGCCCAGCCTGGAGAAGAGGAGGCTCAGGGGAGACCTTATCGCTCTCTGCAACTGCCTGAAAGGAGGGTGCAGAGAGGGAGGGGTTGGTCTCTTCTCCCAAGCGACAAGCGATGGGACAAGTAGAAATGGCCTCAAGTTGCACCAGGGGAGGTTTGGGATGGGCTGCCCTGGGAGGTGGTAGAGTCACCATCCCTGGAGGAATTTGAGAGATATGTGGATGTGGTGCTCAGGGACATGGCTTAGTGGTGGTATTAGCAGTATTGGGTTAACGGTTGGAGTGGATCATCTTAGAGGTCTTTTCCAGCCTAATTGATTCTGATTTAGCCCTCCAGGCACTGAATGTATGGCATGCATGTCTGGATCCCTGTCAGCACATCTGCTTACAGACTGAGGCATCTGCCCAGTGGACAGCTGGAACATGGAAATGCTGTAAGCACACAAAAAGAGGGCATTTGAAGTTGCTTTTGTTATTGGGTTTTTTTGAGGGGCACACAGTATGAAAAAGTGTAGAAGTTATTTCAGTTCTTAAAATAGGTCCATGCTTGTGAAGCTGTAGCACAGGAAATTTTAAGGCACGTTTTATTTCCTAAAGAAATACTGGCAAAATTTTACACGCAGTCATCAGATACCTCTCAGTGAAAACATACTAGCTACCCTTCATGGCTGTTCTGCCTAGAGGAGGTATTTTGCTCTATGATCATATAATATTCTCACTAATTTATCTGACACTCATTTTCCCAAACCACCTACTCTCTCCTCTGCTCAGAAAGCCTTACCTCCTTGTGACACTTCTTGAGCAGACTGATAACGAGGTTACATTCTTCAGTGTGCAGATGAGGAGACAGGTCTGGATGCATCTTTAATTAGGGATGATTTTAGTGGTACAAGGACAAGAATCTGAGAAAACTTCCACCTGCCAACATTAAAATATGAAAGTATAACTAGAAAGTTTGAGTTAACCACTTAAGATGTAATCACACAGTATTATAACAAAGACATTTTAGATCAAATGCAGCTTAATATGTATAATTTATATTACACAGTTACAGTAATTAAAACTAGCACATGTCTGTTCTTCTACACAGCCCAAATGTTAAAAGTTACCTAAAAGCTTATATTCTTTGCTATCATGGACATAAGCATGCATTTGGGATTTGAATTTTCAGGGACTCCCTAGCAGCATTATTCTTCCTTGAACTGCAAATTATCTTTTTACTTTCCTATTTCAGTTTTCTTCTTTCTAGCTTTAAAAAAACTAAATATATATAATTTTCTTTCTGCCTTCTACAAAGATGGATCAGAACAGGAAGCAGAAAGATATTTCATTACAGCACTCTGAGAACTGGCATCTTTTTCAGTTATCTACATGCTTTTAAAAAATCCTGATCCAAAGTATTGATGATGCTTTAAAAAACAGTACTTAATGACTTAATCGACAAACAGTAATGATTTTTTTTAAATTATGCACAATTTTAATGTCCCTTCTTGCAACTTGACATTGTTGCCTCTTGTGCTCCTCTGAAAAGCATCTGGATCTGTCTTCTGCATGAATCCCTCGCTCCTTCAGATCATGGAAGACAGCATTTAGCTCTCCCTTGAGTCTCCTCTTTGTACCGCTACAGCAGCCTAGCTCCCTTAACCCTGTCATACATGCCAACTGGTCCACCCTCCTGACCCTCTTAGCTTCCCCTTTGCTGGACTCCATTTTTACCATCTCTGTAAACAGTGGGACCCAAAGATAAACACAAGATTTCAGACGTGGCCTCAAGACTGCCAAGAAGAGTGGAATAAGGGTAAGTTCCCTTGACCTGCTAGCTACACTTCTAATACAGCCCAGCATGCTGTCAGCCTTCCTTGCTGCAAGGGTGCACTGATATATCATGTTTTAACTCAATGTCAACCAGGACCCCCACTCAAGCCCTTTTCTGCAGGGTTCTGTGGAACAGGAGCAAACCTC